CAAAGCCACCACCACCACCACGACTGCTTGCTAAAACAAACATGGGGCGGCCGCCTGTGACATGTCGACAGAATCGTGACCCCCACACCAACTCCATTGTCACCGGCGTTTTAACCTTTTGAGGGAGTCTGCTGGACTCGCTGCCTGCACACGATCGATATTTTCTTGCGATTTAAATGTCGCAGGCTATAAGCACGCCAATCTAGCCACTAACACCAGCCCAAGGCATAAGTTTCAGACGTAATTTGTTTTGAAACAGCGTAAATTGGCTATTCCCTGCAATTTTTTTTCAACTCGGTACCAACGCTGTTACGAGTGGCCGACTTGTGCCAGCTGAATTTGTAGGGAGAAAGTTGACTTAATGCCCGTTTAGACGTGATCACTCACCCTCCAAGCCAACATTGTCTCAATAAGTGTAGGAATAATCACGCGACTTTAAATACACCAGTCTTTCATCGAAGACACCTGCAAATCTCTGGCCCGCTCAGTCTGCTGACAATGCAGCACAGCGCCTCAGTCAAGCGCACTTAATCGATAATCAACACGAGAGTACAACGTGACTTGCGGCCAAATGTACCTTGGCCAGACGGTATCCAATCGATCAGCCCCGCGCCAGAAGAATCATTAAACACGCTCATCGCTAATGCCACCGTTCAGAGGAATTTCGATGCTGACGACGAACCCACGCAGCTACTTCGATTGTTCATGGTTTGATCAGGCGTGTACTTTAAAATATCTCAGCGATAATGCAACAATTTTCTACCCTCAGATCACACAGTCTGATTGGCCAGAGATTGTCAAAAACAGTAAGTTGAGGTTTTAATGTAAACAAATATTGGCATTAATTAGATCGTATTACGTTCGGTGTTGAGTTGGTTCAGGACTTGTAAGCAAAACGTCGTGACAACGATCGTGCATTTGACTGGTGCTTTGGGTGCGTCCGTGCACGCTTACTCACACCATTGGTTGGTCGCTCAAAAGCTAACCACTCAGCGCTTGCGCGCAAATCTTGCTTCACCAGGGGACGTATGGCTTTGCGCGCAGCACTTTTTCCATTGGCAAATCGCCTGCTATCAGTTCTCGCTCTCTCTCTGTCATTCTCTCTTGAGTCGCATTTCTGTCGTGACGCCCAAGCGGAATACTCGTTGTCAGTGGTAAGTTCGAATATTTCCACTATCTTTTGCCTGCTCTGGCTGGAAATCAACCCCATAGTCATAATCAGTATTGCTGCCCTACATTTTGTCAGGTCATGAGTTATCTAAGATATTTTCTTTAGCGGTAATAGGCGAATATCCACGTTTTTGATGAAGTGACTTAGTTCCGCTTCATGTCAAGTTTTCCTGCCGTAGTTACTGTGAAACAAAATCTTTCACATCAGTCCATCCTGCTGTGGTTGGGTATATAGTAATTGCAGCAATTAGGCACCCATTCTCCGACCTGATACCCCTACTTGGATCGGTTGATTGCGATTTTGTGGTGGTTGATGATAGAACAGCACGGTATTCATTCTTGAAAAAAGGCACTAATTCCTTCTTTATCTTCTTCATATCAGATATGGCAAAATACTCCATCATTCCACTACGATATCCTGAATAGCAGATGGGCCATTATATTTTAAATTTTTGCGTTTTTATTTTTTTCCACGTGACTACAATATACTGACATCGTGTTTACCGTGGTTGCTGGAATCGAATATATATTTACATATATATGATGCAGGTTGAGCAGGTCTATAAAATGTCGAATTCGGTCGTTTTACTCTTTTGTTACTAATTTGAAAAAGAGGTTTCCGATATAATTAAGCGTTTGTTTGCAAGGAAACTTGGGTAAAATTGCTTGTTGTAAGTTCCATTTGTGCGAGTAATCGACTTGTACCCACGTTGACACAAACTAAGTGTGACCGAATCACTAAAATCTAGGATGATAAGCTCAAACTGTGAAATTGTCACCTCCTACGCCCTCCACTGTCGGTTCTCCGCCTCCTAAGCCTGGGTGATCGTCGATGGTTTGCCAAAATAACGTCGAGGCTTGTTCACTTTCGTGTAGACCCGCATCTCAGTAGATGATTAATTCCACTGCCGCGTACTTTGCCGCCGAACAAAGAGTCCCACAGCCCTTCCGCCCCTCCCCCCTCCTGTACCCCCTAAATTGGGGCACCCGCCTCGCACACACACACAAATATATTTCCACAGGACCAGAAAAAAGTGGCCTGTGGGGTCCGCTGACGGTATCTCTCCCCCGCCCGACGAACATCCTTTGGAGTCAGAGTACCCCCATGTAGTCACCACGATGCGTAGGCTACTTAGGACGAGTCATCAGTCGTGGGTCGTGTTAGCCCGGCAACCTGTAGCTTCATCAGGAAATCTGTGACACTGATGCTGCTGCTGCTGCTGCTGCTGATGATGATGATAAAGAAACAGGTATCCACTTTGCCACATAGGATCGGGTATAGATGTAGGGTTCGACACGGGCAATCGACATTGCATTCTCGTGCCCTTTATTTACGCTAACCACTTGCTTATATCACAGTAGCGGTTTAGCAGATGGTGGTGGCTGGTGATTCGCGCGAAGCATTTCCGTTTTGGCATAAACAAACGCAGCCTTCACATAAGCAATCATGGAAGACAACATTCTGCGGTCCCTGGCTTTCACCTCGTCAGAGGTCTAATCTGGCTTTGTTTTGCTGCAGTCATCTTGTCCAAGGTCATTGAAGAAGACATTTTCAAAAATTTGGTCCCCATATACTTGTTTTTTAGCCGTCTTATATTCCTAGCCAAATATCGATTAGCGTAGGATGTTGGTGGTGTGTTTATCACTAACTTCATGTTGCTTGGATGCCGTCGTCATTAGGGAAGCAAAATTGCCATTCCATTGCGCTTGGCTTGGATTAAAGTGTCGGTGTGGTTGCCTGACAGACACTATGTTCACCTGTTACGTGGTCTAGACCACAGCAACAATGTGGCTACGTTTAATTAATTGAACCCGTAGACGCCGGACAGTGGAATAGGCAAGACATGAAGTCAAGAAATCACACGACCAGACGCCAGTTGACTACAAAGGCACACACACACACGCACGCACACACTTGCTAACGACGGGGGCCTTGTGTATCGATTTCTGGGGGGATTCTGGGTCGACAACTCCCTTTACGGGACACGGGAGCAGCGGATCACGTAACAATGGAGCGGGCAAACACGGCGCAGCTCGTTTCGTTATCTCCATGCCCATTCGAGGGTTTTTTGCTACACACACCCACATATCCCAATTTGGCACTTTTGGATTGACAATTCTGTCGGTTTTTGCCTGGTTGAATTTTGCCTCCCCGTCCTATCAACTGTGTGTGAGCATATTTATCACGAGCAAACACTAATTACACCATTTTTGGTGTAAATTCTCGACTTAGAGCAGGGGTTGATTCCGGCCGATTTCTGTTAAGTGCTTTGGGAACTGGCAACGACTGGGCTAGAATTTACGCAAACTGGTAAAAAATATCACCACACAAATTTCAGCTGCGACTAAATTGCACCATCTGTTGTACCGGGTTGGAGTAATTCATTGCCGCCCTTATTGGCCGTCGGAGGCAACAAACACCGTGCACGTGTGAGTGGTGTGTGTGTGTGTGTGACTACTCGAAGTCTTGCATCTGTAGCTTGTTGCCGGGCGGGACTACTCAACTCCCCTTGTTGCGGCATGGTTTTGGTCTGGTGGCCATTAATTCTCGCGTGTCCTTCACTCGCAACTCCGGGAAAGACAAGTACCGTGGTTGTATTTCGATGGGATCTGGCGATACATGCGTGTTAGGGAATACTCGTTCTCTAGGTGTGCTTCGCTTGGGAGGCTGTGGGATCAGGAGATTACTGCCAATAAAACATGATTCCTATCTGACCCCGAGAGATCTGAGTGGAGCATTACTGGGCAAGGCCTTGGCACCACCATTCCCTCACGTGATTGGTTTGCGCGGCCTTGCTGAAGTACATTTTAAAAAAATCGATACCTTTGATACAGTATCGTTACCACGCCTTTAGCCTCTTAAATTACAAGCTTGACTTCCTTAAGTACGTTAAATAAACTAGCAGTAAAGTGGGTAAATATTTGCTTCCGAATGTCAAGTAGTTGCAAAATCGTAATTACAGCCCAAAGCTGTTTCCGCTGACGCTGACAGTTGTTTCAACCAGCGGACACCCAATGCGGGTCTAGTCAGAATACTCGCGTATTCAGGACAAATTTGGCAGTTCCGAATTAACCGGGGAGGGAGGGAGAGAGGGGAGGGCGTAGCAGGCGTTGGCAGCTGCAGGAGGCAATGATCCGTGGCCTGGCATCGGTCTGACGGCTTTTAGGCCCACTAGGGCACCCCCATCACCCCCCTAATATCCTCCCATTTCTCCTTTCAAATTTCGATGTTGCAACCCCCATTCGCTAAGGTCATCATTAAAACGAACATCTCCCAGTGTGTGTTATTCCAATGCACTGCTTTTCCAACGGTTTGCGGTGACACTATGCAGTAGGCTCACCGCATCACCTCCCACCCTAGCAGTTCCTATTTTGTGTACTGATTTCCTCTGTGTCTCTCTATTTTAGCGAAGCGAGATGTCAAACAGTCAAATGCATCACTTCGAACGACCGTCCACATCAGTTTTCGATTCAGGTGAGTTTGTGGCTTGTGTCTACACGTGTTATTCTCTGCGAAATCTAAAAGCTTTTGCTGTGGACTCACACCGGGCCTACGGTTGGCCACCACACACGGGTGACGCGATCGTGGCACGGTGTAGGCAACTTCGGTAATCATATGCGGGGAATTAGTCGTTGTCCGAGTTGACCGATGGAGAGGGGGTCCAACTTCCCTGCATATTTATGGGAACACAGAAGGGATGTGTTTGGGGAGAAGCCCCAGGTAACTCCTGTCAACTGCTAGAGCACCGTAGATCAATTTAGCTTCGACCAATCATGTCATGGGTAAGGTTCTAGGTCGCACAAAACATTGGTCCTTAAACGAGGTACGCATGTCCGGTTTGGGTAACTTTCTTAACCGGGAAGTGCCCGGAAGAAAACGTCCTCCTCGTCTGCCCCTGGCCATATGTTCGCTCAGCAGACGGTGGTCGGCGGTGGCTGTCTTCTGCGGGCCGAATTCTCGCGATCTTATCTGGTGGCTGCTGTGGCCGGTTTACGCTCATCCTGACAATGTCTTGGGAGGCCTTTGTACCATGATTAGAGAACATCACCACCACCACCAACGCCAGCAACACCACCACATATTATCTCCCACTGCGCATATGCTTTGCATGCGCAAACGTCGATGGATTAGCAATGCTGATACTCACCCGGCAGCAGTGCTGTGTGGACGTGAATGCGCAAACACGGGCCTGTGTGTGCGTGTGTGTGTGTGTGTGGAAGGATCCCTGCTGGTAAAGCCGGGGGCGCCTAATGACTGCGACTCCGTATATGGGCTCTCGGGCGCATTCTGCGCCCAGCTGTGTGTGTCAGCCGAGTGCACCCTCCCCACCCCACCCCACCCCACCGCCACCACCCCCGAACGCACATCTCCCTTTCTGTGTGTGTGTGTGCAAACGAGGACGCACACAGCAATGCATGACTCATGGTCCCTCTCTGCTTCCCCCGTACACCGGATGTGTGTGTGTGCGTCAGTCGTCCGTTCGGCCGCCTGTGTGTGTGTGTGTGCTTCCGAGCTGAAAGCTGACGGTGGTGGTGGCGGCGGTGCCGGTGTGGCCAGATTAATCATTCGGGAAAACGACAAGTCAGGGAAAAGACGAATGTGCGTGCGCATGTTGTAAGTATCTTGCCGGGCCCCTGATCATCGATTTTTGCGATTCGGCCAACCTCCAAACCCCATACCTGCCACACAATAGGATTTAGACGATCGAGTAAGTCAACTGCACGTCTTGTCATTCCGTTTGTTCTTGGCTGTTTCTTGATAAAAGGCAATACAGTTATCTTAAAAGGAGTTGTGGAGTGAGCGAGGCTGTATTTGGGGGGTTGACACGGCAACTAGAAGTCGTAAATGAGGTCTGCTGAACTGTCAACAGCTGTGATAAATGAGCACAACCCCTGACTGTCGTGGAAGACCAGTTCTCGTGGTATTTTCACACACACCACCCCCCCCATCAAACTCTCTTTTTCTTCTCCCAGACAATCCCAGTAGACGTGACTGTGTGAGTGACTGTGACCCAGAAAACGACGTAACAATGTGCATCTGTCCGGTTTGCGGTTTCTCAGCCACCAGCCCGCCCAAACTCGACGAGCACATGGACACTGCTCACGGCGACGGCGTCGAGGCTGGTGGATGCAGCGCGGTGACCTCTTCCACACCAAAACGGAGTGCCCCCGATGGCTTCAACGGCTACAACTACTGCACAGACTCGTCCGACTCACCGCCTCGGGGTGATTGCATGGAGGAGGCCCCGAAGACCCAGAGTTCGAGTCTCCTGCAGCCCGCTGACACAGCCTCGTCGTCGTCGTCGCCACCACAGTCAACGTCCATGCCTCTCATTCAAAATGTCTCGCTTCAGACCGACTCGAGGCGTAGATACAGGTGGGTTCGCTCATTTCCTCATCCCAATAAAGCCCTCCACAGAAGCCCAAACATGCCTGCAAATCGCCACTGTGTTCTAATTGATCTAGTCATGTGTGTGGATACTATCACACAATTTCTTGCACGCCTGCAGAAATTTGATTTGTATTTGGCTACACAGGGGTTTGTTACAATCCACTGCGTTGCACTTCTGGGGTTGATTGAAAGTAACAATCTGTCGGATCGTAGCTTGAATTTCCTGTGGCGTGTGCCTATGCGTGTGTGTGTGTGTGTACGACCGCCAAATTCTTGCAATCATTTCTCAACCCAAAATCTTCTCTTCTCGGAAGCCAATTTTTTACCGGACTCATTGATGAGAAATGACAAATGTGGGTGCACCGGGGACTGGGTTTTAGCTTTCGGTTGGCTCATAAAAGCAGTTTGAGTCGTCCGGCTTATCGGTTTGAAGTCGGTTTGAGTCGTCCGGCTCTGGTTTGAAGTCGTCCGGCTCATCGGCGTGTGTTTGCATTCCAGATGCAGCATGTGTGCCTCCACCTTCCCCTGGCACGGCGATCTGACGGACCACCTGAAGGCCGCCCACGGCGTGCAGAAGAACTCGCGCGAAAGCGCCCGCGGTGGCAGCACCGCCAGTGGTAGCGGCGCCAGCGGACGGTCGGCCGGCGCGTTCTGTTGCAAGAGCTGCAAGTACGTGGCCAAGTACCAGAGCGAGCTGCGCAGGCACATGCGTCTGCACTGGGGCCTGAAGCCCTTCGAGTGCGTCTTCTGCTCCTACCGCTCCGCCTGGAAGGGCGACCTCAAACGACACATGGAGTCACACCACAAGGAGCGCTTCGCGTCCGAAGCCGAGCTCGTCCGCATCATGGCCCAGTTCAAGAACAACGCCGGCACCTCCGCCATAGTCGACATTGGCGGTGGCGGCGGTGGTGGTGGTGATCAGTCACCCAACTCCCACGTCGACTCACCCACTCGCTCGCTGAAGGTTGGTTTCACTCGTGATCTTAACTCACCACTTAGTCACGTGGCTAAGGAAACTAACCTGTGCTACTATTTTCTGTAATTTTAGCGTTCTCCTGCTTCAAGAAATGGCAGGGAGAGGGGTGCTCGTCAGAGTATGCCCCTGCCCACAGGGCACGCGGAAAGGGACGACGATCTGCTGCACCATCAGCTATTTCCAGCGACAGCTGCCCCAGTAACTACTCAGCAACAGGCCCAGTTCTCTGTTCAGCCCCAAATCACATTTGACCAATTGACGGCCTGTCAGCAGACCCAACCTCCGAATCACGCGACTCCCTTCATGGGACCCTCTCCATCCCCGCCTCACCCCCTACCACCCCTCGGACTGTTTCCTTCACCTGGTCAATACTCAAATTTGATCGGTCCCGCTGCGCCCATGTTTGCAGCTAACTCTCTCCTGTGCAATCCAGAAGTGGTGGTACGTGATTGGGATACTTAGCCCATTATTGAGTTTTGCCAAGGCCTTTACGCACACGTTTGACGTGTGATATGTGGGCCACCTAAGACACAAACACACACAGGAATGTGTTTTTAGTCCGTGTCGACGTGAATCGTAAAATTTTAGGTTGATGATCTTTCGCGGGCGAATTTACGAGTTTGGGGTGAGCACATGCAGCCACATAAAGAACAACGTGGTTTCTTGGGCTGATGCGCAAATGTCTTGTGTGTGCCGTTTCGCCGTTCTTGTTCCTCATCGTGTGTGCATCGAGTAGAAACGCGGTAGTTTCCGTGTGTTTCGGAGAGGCGAGTTAGTGCTGACAGTTCCAGCAGGGTGTTGGGTGTGTACCCAAGCAGCGCCACTTTATTGCCAACTACGCGCGCGCACACGCACGCACGCACGAACCTTCGTGTCCTGCAAATTTCTGCCACGCCTGCTCGAGAAGCACCTAACCGCGCGATGTAACCGAGAGAGCGAGAGCGAGAGAACATGGAGGATGGTCGTTTGTTTATACCAAGAGGTCGCCGATAGTGTGTGTCCGTGCACGCACGCGCGCTCGTGTTCATCCGTTCGCTGCGCACGCAGCAATTGTCCCCGTTTTTGTTTACATTACAAAAATCAGGTCTCTCTCTCTCTCGCTAGGTTGGATGCAAAGGCTGTTCCGTGAGCATGTAATCGTGCTACGGTCGCCTTCTGGGTAACTTAATCTAACGCTTCCATGTCGCCATTTTTTGAAGTCTGCGAAAGACGTACTGACAGTGGACTATCTCCACGGCTGCAAGGAAGAGTTGCTAACGTTATTTTAACTCTTGTTTTATAGACTAGGCTTTAGACAAAGACGGGTAAATGTGCATGGCGGTGTTGTGAAATGTGCATTCACTGAAAGCACGTGTTGATGCCTCGCATGCTGCGTGACGTGTGACCTGGTGGTGGTCCAGCCAACTCGCTGATTCGGCCTTTTTTCCTCTATTTAGAAGGCTATCCTCAGCCAGACTCCAGAACACCTAAACAATTTGATACTTTCTCAACAACAACAGCACCTGCAGCCAACCACGACCGAGGAACCGTTGAATTTGGTGTGCAAGCAGGAGGCGCAGTCGTTGACGGGCCGCGGTGCGATGACGACACCGAACTCCGACGTGAGGCCGCCTCCCGCGAAAAGACGGTCAATTGCGCCATCAAGTGTCGGCGCCTCTTACGTCTCTGGAGGCGGCGGGGGCGGCGGCCTACGCGAAGAACAGTGGAAGAGGTACCAGTGCTCGGGTTGTGGGCACCGATCCAACTGGAAGTGGGACATCAACAAGCACATCAAAGTGGCCCACCCTGAACGCAAAGAGATCACCACAATCACCTTGGACATCGAAGAGGCCAGATTGACTCTTCCGGCGTACCTGGAAAAGGTTAGGGCCCTCGGAAGGAATGGACGACCGTCGGCGACTGGTGCCGCCGAGGAGTGGGGTACCACGTCAACAGGCAACAGCATTGTCTCGGGGCATCAGCCCACTGAAGGCTACTATCGGCCCTTCAAATGTACCGTTTGTGGACACAGGTGAGTCATGCCTCGTGGCTTCGTGCAGATATTGCAAGAGATGGGTGTGGACTGGTGACTAGGCCCGACACTTTGGAACATCTGTTTAGATTAAAGCTTTCACCTCGTGGTTATAGACAGTGATTGGTGTGCAAATCGAGACAATTTTTGCCAATGTTGCAGGAGCAATTGGAAGTGGGACGTGAAGAAGCACATTAAGCAGATGCACGCGGGTGCGGCTGACGTGATTACGCTGAGCAACGAGGAGGCGCGTCGCACTATCAACCAGTACAAATCGCACAGGCGTCAAGGTCAAGGCCTGCGATCGCATTGGTCGGCGTCGTCGTCGTCGGCGTCGATGATGACAGCGGCACCAGCCACTGTCAAGACGTCGCCACCAACCAAACGCCACCTCGACGACTCTGACAGCGCCGATGTGGACGAGAGTCAGCCAAACCGTGAACCGCTGGACGAGCAGGTCGCGCCAGCCTCGGCTTTCCGCTGCACCGTGTGCAAGCGACGCTTCCAGACGTGGACCAACCTTCAGCAGCACACTGTCTTCAGCCATCCGTCTGGCGGCAACTCAGCTGTGTCGAGTGGCGCCAGCGCTGTTAGTCCTGGTGGTGGGAGTAGTGGAAGCAACGTCTGCAAGAGGTCCTACAAAAAGGCTCTGTTGCAGAAGGCTCTTGCATCGCCGACTGCCAGCCGACTATCCCCTTGGAAGAACTGCCAGCCAACAATGGTAAGTGAACTATACTAATGACATGTTTATTAGTAAACACAGTCAAGTAGCACTAAAAGAGCAAGTTGTTCGTTCAAATTAAACCTACTTGCATCTCGCTATCTCGCGTTTCAGGTGACGAAGACGCCAGCTATGCAACGGCTTCAATTCACGGAGAACTCGCCACCGATTCAGCCGTCAGTAGAAGACTGCCACAAGTTTCAGGCACGTCGGTCGCTGCTGGCTGAGATGTCCCCCACGCTGCCATTAATGAGTCCACTGCGTCCCAGCACCCACGAGAACCTCCTTTCCGGTGGCGTCGAGGGCGAACAGAAGGCGATCCAGGACCCCGGCAAAGTCTTTCAGCTGATCGAGCTTCTTCAACAGGTTCTGAATTTCCTGATCTCCACACTAGATGACGATAAACAACGGGCTGCTGACACCATGAAGCTCTCCTCGGACACCTCTGAGGAAACACCGTCACTTACTGGCACGAGCTCGGATGAGAACGAAAACGAGCCGTCGACGTCTCTGTAAGTGGCACAAACCCTAGCGAAAAAACATGTTTACTTTTTGTTATTTAGTAATAAGTATTTTTTCGATTCTAGAGACAAGTCGGAACGCCTGGCCAATCTACTCCAGCAGCCTCAGGTGCAACCTCTAGTTAATCAGTTGTCATCCCTATTCCACCTGGCTATCCGACACGATCCCATAACCAGCACCGAGACACCTCATCCAGCTCAGTGAAGTTCAAATCCCTCACGCCCAACCGTCTTGATCCCGTGTCACCTCTGTGCATTTCAAAGAACCCACCCACCGTTGCACCTAGTAACGCTCACCCGCCTGAGACCACGCTAACTTTGTACGCCTTCCCCCCTCCACCCCACGCGTTCTTATTTTACTACCTGATAATTTACTCTGAGTGTATGCGAACTTGGAAAATTGCAGTTGCTAGTGTCTTTTCATGCTTAATGGACTTGTCAGTGTGCTGTGATAATAAAATGTAAGACACACCGAGCGAGATGATTTGGGTCAGCGTGTGACGCGTCAAAGAGGTCTCCAACAAGTGGTTTCTTTGCGCTCAGATAGCAAGTGGGTCATTTTTGGGCAATGGGGCTTGTTTGCAACGGTGTACTTGCGACATTTGGGTTGCATAAAGTGGTAAACACTGTTTCGTGATTGGCTTATACACAATCTACGAATCAGGGTTGGGAAAATCAATCAGCATGCTAAACGAGTTTGTAAGAAGAGCCCTAATTGGTCACATTTCAGACATAATTGAGTGAACACTTCCGTGTTTTGTGTCTGCTTTAATTCCTGGTCACTGACAACATTTAGTGCTTATTTTTTTCATTTGCGCAACACAGATGAGGGAACAAGATCGGCCGACCTGGTTTTTCCATGTTTAAAAGAGAAAAATCGATTTTGAGCGACAATGGTTGCAAAGTGAAGCATACCATTGGCCCAAACTGGCCAATCCTTTTAATGGTCTTATTGAGCGTTCACACAACTTTAGCCCAGCCAATGAATGGCTTTCTGAACATGATCACCCATGTCGCAATTTGTTACTCCTGTGAGCTTATTTTATGCGAATAATTGGTGCATTTGACCTAGACTGTTAGAAAAACCAGGGATTATTAGTGGCAATACAACTTCTGAATTAAACTCTGGATCTCCATTTTCGAGAAAAATCTTTAAAATAGACATTAAACGATAGGCGA